TGAATTGCCGTCATTTGGAAATACTAAAATGCCATTGAATTTATGGGGGATTCCTTGCCTGTCTGCACAGAACCAAATGTCATGAGAACATTAACATTAAATATCTCAGGAAAGATGCTCCCCAATTCTTACAAAGATAAAAGGAGACAGGGGAGAGGTGCTTTCAGGCCCATTAGATTGATATCAAACCCTTGAGTGGAACACACAAACCAAAGGCATGCAGTCTAAGAATGCTTTTATTATAGAGCTATTGTGATTTAATTTTGCAGGTTTGCCATGGACTCGGATTTTATCTGACTTACATCTTGGTAGGTCAGCTCTTTCTCAGGATCATTCCTTCTTGTCCATTTCATCAAAGCTTAGCTCTGCCTTTTTGCGAGATGTTACTTCAACTTCCCAACCTAGCCTCCAAATTTGGGATTTCCTAGTGGTCTCCCCTCCAATTACTAAGCAGTTCTGACCCCAATTAGCTTCTTAGATTCCATCTTCCTGAGCATGGCCTCCTGCCAAGACTGGGCAGAGCAAGCAGCATAGATGCAGAATGAATTAAGAGTAACCAAGGAAGGAGAATATTTGTGGCTTGGGGTTGAAATGAGGGGTCCTTGGTGCTCTCTGAGCTTGTTTGTTTTCTTGCAAACGTTTCATTACCCTAACTAGGTAACATCATCAGTGCTAGCAAGGAGTGCTGAGTGCTGTTTATATTCTGGTTTCTTGCCTGTCTACATGGGTGGAGGGATTCTTTGGTTGGGCTGTTTACTAATGGCTCTGTGACAGCTTCTTCATTGGGGTATTGCTTATTTGGATTGTTGGTCTAAAGTTGACTTTGGAGCTAGTCTATGCTGATCTGATTGCTGATTACTGGTGGAGAGCTACTGGAGTCTTTTTCTCTTTTGGACCGATTGTCTCTTTTGCATAGTCTATAGATGTTAATGTCTATGTGTCTATTGACGGCGGATTTGTCAGAGTGCCAGGCTTCTAGAACAGTGGTTCTCAACCTGTGGGTCGGGACCCCATTTGGGGTCGATCGACCATTTCACGGGGATCGCCAAGCAAGGCTGTCCGCCATTTTTTTTGTCCGCCATTTTTTCCTTTTCCGGCGGGTGCCTTACCTCCCTTGAGCTGGGCCAGCTGGTGGTCGGCCTGCTCCGTCTCTGCCGCTTGCCAGCTACGCCTTGGCCGGCGCAGGGGGCGGAACCACGCATGTGCGGCACTCCCGGGCAGGGAAAGTCCTCGACTTACGACTGGTTGGGTAGTCCTCAACTTACGACCAGTTTAGTCCTCAACATACGACCGGTTTAGTCCTCGACTTACGACCGGTTGGGGTCGCGGCATTAAAAAGGTTGAGAACCACTGTTCTAGAAATTCCCTGGCATTTTTGGATTTGGCCCGGTCTAGGATTGTCACATTTTCCCAATTGAAACGATGGTTAAATCTGTCTGTATGTTGTGAAATTAAAAGAATTTTCGTCATGCCTTTTGGCTGCCAGTTGGTGTTCGTGGGTGCGTTCTGCCACTCTTCTGCCTGTTTGTCCTATATACCGTAGTGGTTGTGGCAGTTCTTACATCGTATGTTGTAGATCAGGGATCCTCAACCTTGGCAACTTTAAGACTTGTGGACTTTAACTTGTGGACTTTAACTGCTGGCTGAGGAATTCTGGAAGTTAAAGTCCACAAGTCTTAAAGTTGCCAAGGTTGAGGACCCCTGTTGTAGATGACTGTTTTTTCCTTCTGGGGTTGCTGGGTCTTTGGGTTGCCTCCTTCCTTGGGCTAAGCCCAAGCTTCCTTAGGACTGGCCCAAGGTGCCACAGCTAGCTTCGTGTCCGAGGCAGGACTCGAACACGCTCCCTCCCCCGCGTCGCTCCTTCCGTGGCTCCATCCAGCGGAAAAGAGGTCACCGAAAGGGCTACCTTGCACTTTTTCAACCGCCCCGCCCCCTCACCCCCCAACCAGTCCCGCGTCGTCTGTTTTGCATCGCCCTGCCGATTGGCCGGCGGGCCCGGCGCCACATCCAGGGGGGCGGGGCGGGGCGGAGGCGGGTGTCAGGCTGCTTCATTTAGCGGCTTCAGTAGCGGCCGGTGTGGCAGCCGGGCCGGTGCAGGTTGGTTGGTGGTGCTGCTGCCGCCTTTTGTTAGGCGCGATGATGGAACTGCTGGAGGGCGAGGGCGACTGGAGTGTGTCCTTCGCGGGATGCGGCTTCCTGGGCGTCTACCACATCGGCGCGGCCACCTGCCTGCAGGAGCGCGCCCCTCGCCTCCTCCGCGACGCGCGGTGCATTTATGGGGCCTCGGCGGGTGCGCTGGCCGGTGCTGTCCTCATCGGAGGCGGCTCTCTGGGTGGGTCTGCCCTGCGCCTAGTCGGGAAGAGTCGTGGGAACGCGTCTGCCTGGGGGATCCGGGTCCTAAGGCTCCCGCGGAGGCTGGCATGCCCTCGGCTTGGGTAAAGTTGGTCAATTTGTGTGTGTGTGTGTCTCTGTGAGAAGCTTTGACTAAGTGAACAAAGTCCAGACTTGGCTGAATTCGTGGGAATGGAGAAAGCAGAGGTTTCTTTTTTGGAAAGGGCTGATGCCTGGTAGTCCTGATTGTGGTTTGCCGTTTTGTCCCTGGAGAAATCTAAGGGACCGACATGGAGGCTCCCTCTGATCCTACAGCAACAGCCCTTTGATCAACCTCTGTGGTTCTCAACCTTTTTAATGCCGCGACCCCCAACCGGTCGTACCGGTCGTAAGTTGAGGACTTAACTGGTCGTAAGTCGAGGACTAAACCGGTCGTAAGTCGAGGACTACCCAGCCGATCGTAAGTCGAGGACTTTCCCTGCCCGGGAGCGCCGCACATGCGTGGTTCCGCCCCCTGCGCCGGCCAAGGCGTAGCTGGCAAGCGGCAGAGACGGAGCAGGCCGACCACCAGCTGGCCCAGCTCAAGGGAGGTAAGGCACCCGCCAGAAGAGGGGGAAAAAATGGCGGACAGCCTTGCTTGGCGACCCCCGTGAAATGGTCGATCGACCCCAAATGGGGTCGCGACCCATAGGTTGAGAACCGCTGTCCTACAGCAACAGCAACAGAAAGTTGAAGTAGGCTGACCTGAGAGAGCAAGACTCTACCCTCTCTTCTAGAGATGTAATACTGGGTGGGTTAGTAGGTTAATTGTATTAGTGGCCTGATCCGATTAGTTAAGAACGACTGTATTTATCTCAGATGGATTGCTTGGTGAAAGCACCTTCTCTCCGGCGGGCGCTGAAGGTCAGAAATAATGCAATATGGAGAGTTGAATACCTTTGCCACCAGTTCCCCTCAACACTTGTCTCTGTTCACATATTGTGGTTTACTGCGTTGTGGTGAATCCAGCACGGGGTGTCAGCCTGCCAGTGTAATGGGTAAATCCTCTTTTATAGCTCAGCTTTTTGTATTCATTTCTGGGTAGTCCCAAAAGAGCTTGGAGGGAATCCAGCCAAAAAAAACCCCTCTTGTTTGCTTTTAGAACTTAATTAACCATATCAAATTTTCCCCAGTTGAAAATGCAATGATGGAGACTTATTCGTTAACCCAGAAAGCATGGCTCATTGAGGAAAAATCAAAACATTTTTGCTATCAAGGCTATGGTTCGGTGATTGGAACAGTCTTTCGTATTATCTTTTTTTGGTATTGGGATAAATATTGACCTTTTCCATTCTTTTGACCACTGACCAGTCTTCCATGCAGTAGCAAAGCACTGGCAGTGCTTTTGTTGGCAGTGGCTTCAGCAAGTCTGTAGGAATTCTGTCAACTCCTGGGGCTTTGTGGTTAGGCAACTAGTTGAGTGTCCACACTACCTCCTCCCACAGGATATCTGGTAGGACAGCTTCTCCTCTTATGGCTTGGCCTTGTTTTTTGTTTGCGTAAAGTTCTTCTGCATATTTCCGCCATCTTTCTCTAATTGCTTGTTGGTCATGCAATTCCTGACCATCACACCCTCTGACCGTATCGCCTTTCTTGCCATAAAGGAGTTTCTGGACTTCTTCCCATAATTGAAACACTCCTGTATGACCGGTCATGGCTGCTTCCTCCAGTTTCTTACATTGCTCAGCCTAGTACTTTTCTTTATCTTTGCTTGCTTCTCTCTGGAACTTTAATGTTCCACATTTCTTTCCCGTCACCAATGGCTTTTGCTTTCCTTCTTGCTTCTGCTGTCTTTATTGCAGCTTCTGATATTCAACTGGCCAATTTCTTTGGCCTTTTGAATGTAATATATTCTTGGACTACTTCAGTGATGATGGTTGTTTTCATTTCCCCCCATAGATCATCTGCTTGTCTTTCTATAATATTGAGCAGTTCAAATCAGTTCTTGACTTCAACTGTAGATGCTGAAGAAATCTTCTTGATGTCAAATTTTTGAATCCTGGGTGGTTGTTTGCAACACCTGAACTTTTCCTTGGCAGCTAACAGTTCATGATCTGATCCACAATCTGTACCAGCGAATGTTTTCACAGCAAGGATGGAACTTTTCCACTTCTTTTGACATAATATGTAGTTGATTTGGTTTCAGTGTTCTCTAATTGGTGAAGTCTAAGTCGCCATTTGTGTTGTTCAAACCACATGTTCTTTATGCTTAGCTGTTGTTCGTGACATAGCTGAATCAGATGTTCTCCTGCCCCATTTTGTTCCACAAGGCCAAACTTGCCTGTAATCCCCTTTTCTTCCATTTCTCCCACTTTTGCATTGAGATCTCCAATATTATAGATAATTCTTTCTTTAGTGTTTGTTTCAGAGCTTTCTGAATTTCAGCATGGAATTCTTTGATGTTCTCTTATTGCCGAGTCTTCAGTGAGAGTGTGAACTTGCAGAATCGTTATGTTGCAAGGTTTTCCATCGATACGTGTTGCCATCATCCTGTTGCTGTTTGAAAACTTTCTGTGGTTTTGCCCACTTTTTTAATGCAATATGAAACCTACTCTTCTGATGGTATCATTGCCAGAGTATACAATATGACCATCATAGTTGAAGAAGCCAAAGCCAGTCCGATGAGCTTCACTGATGCCTAGTATATCAATGTTGAGCCTATTCATTTTGTTTTTAACAGTGTTCAGTTTTCCTAGATTTAAACCACTGATGTTCCATGTTCCCAATTTTGAACAGTGGAGAGCTCTTTTTTCACTAGGAGCTGTGTCAATGGCTGGAGGGCCATTAGGATTTATCCCATCTGCATTAAGGATGTTCCTGCTAGTATGATAGTGTCTTTGCTCTTTCCCTGCAGCTTTATTGGTACCTCCTAGCCAGGGCAACATACTGCTCGATACCATAACTCCCACATCCTTTCCATAAAGGTTTTGGGCAGAGAAAACTGGAGTAGGTCACCAGGTCTTGCTCCAGGCCAGAACCGTGTTGGTCAGTAAAATAGGCTTATACCAGGGGTGTCAAACTGCCAGCCCGCGGGCCAGACCCGTCACCAGGAAAACAACGCCCATTCCATTGCTGGCAATGGAGAAAAAGCTCCGATACGTCACGTGACATCACGAGTTTGACATGTCTGGCTTATACTGTTCACCTCCACCACCAGGGTAAGGTATTGTTGGGCTTTGGGGGGGGGTAGGGGCAAAATGAACTATAATACCTTAATATTAGGTTTATATACTGGTAGTTGTTAATATAGTTGAAGCAATTGCCTTCCTACAAGCAGCTGGCACAGATATAATCCTGCAGACGGCAGCCATTTTGAGAGCTTTTCTTTTTAACTAGATCCTTCCAGATTTTCAGCACTGTTTCTTTGAATTCAGTTTTGTAAATTGAATGTTTCAGTTCTTTAATTTTAAGGCTGCCTGACTTCTCAAAGATTGGGCGGATTGCAATTAAACGGAAGAGAAAGATAGAATATAGCTAACTGGAAGGCCACTTCCATATCATAGAAAACCCAAACATCATAAGGATTGGGCAAACCCCATGCCCTGAGCATCCTTATAAATGTCTTGCTATTGATATGGGTCTTGTAATGGTGCTGAAAGTCCAAGTTTTCTTCTGGATCAACTGCAACCCTCTGAAGAGCCTGGGAGGCCTTTCTTACTGTGTATTGATATACAGATATGTTAATCGCCACCTGTGTTATTAATACCATGACAGAATACCTGAGATTCCAGTTTTTTGACATATCTGGAGGTTTCTTAAGAAAGGAGTACTATATGTACAGGTACTATATGTACAGGTACAGATAAGGAAGTACTTGTTGAGAGTGTGGTTGCGCAGCAATTCCCTCGGCACCTGGAGGAAACAGTCTATCTGGACCCGTTCCAGTCGGGCTTCAGGCTGGGTTACAGCACGGAAACGGCATTGGTCATGCTGGTAAATGATCTCTGGAGGGCCCGGGACAGGGGTTATTCCTCTGTCCTTGTTCTTTTGGACCTCTCAGTGGCTTTTGATACCGTGGACCACGGTATCATGCTGCGACGTTTGGGTGAGTTAGGAGTGGGAGGCACTGTTATGCGGTGGTTCTCCTCCTTCCTCACCGACCGTACGCAGTCCGTATTGGCAGGGGGACAGAGGTCGACCCCAAGGCCCCTAACTTGTGGGGTCCCACAAGGGTTGGTCCTCTCTCCCCTTTTGTTCAATATTTATGTGAAGCCGCTGGGGGAGATCATTCGCGGCTTTGGGGTGGATTTCCATCAGTACGCTGATGATACTCAGCTGTACATTTCCACCCCAGGCCACCCCAACTATGCCCTTGACGTGATGGCCCGTTGCCTGGAGGCCGTAAGGGTCTGG